AGCAGTCGTTATTGCAACGATGATAGGAGAACCCAACAGACCAACACAGGTCATTCAAATTGAGCAGGACTACGACCGCTCAAAAATCGACACCAGTAAAAATGAACAACTGATTCCTATGACAGCAGAGGGCAATCTTTGGAATAATAAAAACAGAAGGTTCGAAAAAGTGTTCTTCCTTTTTGACACAAAACTCTTCACAGAAACGTGTACAATGTCGAGCATTGGAGGACACGTTGAACGGTTCGATAGCGCAACTGTACCTTTGAGAGTTAGATCCGCGTACGGGAAAGAACTACGCTTCAAAGTACAAATCATATCAATTGTAACAAAGGGATTTCCTTCGGTAAGACTAACAGGAGAAGATGCCTATTTCCTTGAGCATAACCAGATCTGCGTCGCAAATTCCAATTTACAAGGAGAGGGACAGGTGCCCAAAGTTTTAGTTGGACTCGACAGATATGACGACCTGGTCGTAGAAGATGGAGTCCCACAGAGAACACGTTCAGGGTTGCGAATCGCAAAAACCAAGTTCGGTCCAGCAATTAATAGCCGAGGCAGGCTGGACAACCCAGCAGAACATCAGTCAGTTTCCGGGTAACGGAACTTCTCCCCTATCGCGGCATTCTCCCTTGCGGCATGCGGCAATTATCACTGCAATTACCGTACTCACCCCGCCTCCCCGCCAATCGATAGAACGCGATATTTTCCGTTGATTGCCTTGCTTTTTAATTGGATTTGATCGTTTTTTCTTCTGTTTCTCTTTAGTTTTCATGTTAATTAGACTTGATTAATTGAAATGACTCTTCCTTTATAAACGACGATCAAGTCCGCATTGGAATTGAAAAGAGCGGCCAGCCAATTCAAATAATTAAAGGACTCCCTACCTCACAAATTGCGCGCTCCAATCTTCCATCGCAATCCTGCGATAGGCGGCGGGTGCGGCGTGTGCGATGCTGTGTTAGGGGAAAAGTTCTCGGACCCGTCAGTTTCCTTTGGGTTGATGGCCATTCACGAAGGCTCAGAGGATCGAATATCAGAGAAACCTTTCAAACCAGATGAGCTAGGAGTTTCTTCTGATGATTGCGCCACTGATAATAAAGTTCAGCAACATTTCGAAAGTAACATTCAATATCGATCGATATAGGTTATGTCACAGCACCATTTCCACTGCAGTGCACTATCTCAAAACTCGAGGATGAGGCCGCGTTCGCGCAGATTAGGCTCAAAGACGCACACAAAGAGTTATGCCGCCCACTGTGTGTACAAGATACCACGAAGCTTATTATGAGGTCAAACATATCAGAGTACCGCTTTAATCGGTTACTATTCAGCATCATTACGTCACCTAGTCTCCCAACTATTTTGCGTCTAGCATTTTCATGCTCGGAAGGGACCGAATCATCAGCAGAAACAAGCAGAAACCTGTATAGAAGCAGTATTTTACTTCAAGCGCAAACTGACAGGAAGATTCTCCAAAAGTACAAGGAATCGAAGAGCTTGTTCTCAAAAATCGGTACGAACCTCCGACATAATGTTTCCAACTCGAATATTGTCAATATGGTAATACCGAAGAACAGCCGGCCTCCATTTGGTAAAATGAAACTTCTCGGCGTTCACTACGACAAGAAGAACGACCGGTTAACAATCAAGACAAAATTCAAGATGAAGATGACGCTGACGAAAAGAGATGTAGTCAGCCAAACTGATTCTGTGTACGACCCGCTCAGTGTTGTTAATTCATTATTAATTGGACTGGAATCTTTGATCAGGGAGGTCTTTATCACGCATTCAAGACGGAATGACCGCGTTTCCATAGAACTCCACAAAAAATGGAGTACGTCATGTGTGACAAATAACGCTATGATAACAATCCACAAAATTCTTAGCGGAGAAAATGAGCTTTTGAAAGGTGTATGTCTCTGGTTCTTCCCGTGCCCAAGCAATGAAGCTGTAGCGGCATGTTCTTATACAATATACCAAGACAAGACGACTTCCCTTCTTATAAGTGGAGAAACCAATGAACGCGCCTCAAACTAAACCCAAATTTGTGCTTCTAGAGTTACTTATTCAAGTCTTGGAACCTCTATTTCACGGGGTAATCACTACCTCACTAAAAAGTTAGCATTCGTGAGCGACAGGCGTGCAGGTACCGTGGCTCGGGTTTTGTGGTCGTTGCCTCAGGCCAGCTCATGCCGAGGATGACGACTGCGGCGTACAGTGTGCGGCGTGTGGGAGACCACATAATGTGCTACTGTGCGCCAATCGAGGAATAGGACTTCAAAGGACTACGACGACTAAATGGGCAGCGTGCTGACACTTCAAAATTCTATTGCTTTCCTATGTGTAAATTTTAACTAATCGTGGCCTGCGGGAGTGTTCGCGGTCACCACCGCTTCTTCGGGGCGGGGCTTAAGTAGGATTCTCTACTCTGTCTTACCCGTAACAGGGGACACTTGTCTCGCACACGACCCGCAATCAGGGTGTTTGGTTGCCTACTAATAAATATATACTACTGAACCACCGTGTTTATTTGTTCGTTCGTTTATCAGAGAGACAACAATCTCTCTGACTACATAAAAGGCGCCACCCTTCCGCCTAGTCACCACATTTTTTGGCTAACTTTGACAATTAACTGCATCGTATAACCATAACTGATATAGAACCATTGATGGAACCTATTAAGACCTGCATTCCATATCCTCCACACCAATGAACAATTGCCGTCTAGTTCCCATATGTTCAACTCGGGGACGAGTTCTTCTCTCAACCTAGTAACACAATAGCCCCTTGGGTTGTAGCCTGTATTAACCTCTTGCCTCGTTGGGTAGCGCAATTTTCTCAAAATTCTTTGGTGACACATCATACTCCTCTATGTCTACACATTCCACAGCGAATGCTTAATATCATATGGAATGTTCCTCAAAGCTCTAGGACGAGTTTACTGTAAGGAATGGAGATGTCGAGTCATGGAACAGCTCGAGACAGCCGCCAAGATTTCGTCAGCCTTGCAGCAACATCTACGAGGAAACTGTCGTGCCATCCATCAGATTGCATCATGCTGATTCACGAGTCATGGTATAAAAGCAGCCGCCTCATGGCATGGAGGACATCATCGTGCATGCCACCGTAGCCGCCAGGCTACTCACCGTCCCTTCGTCGTGGCTGCTCAAGCCAACTCGTCCTGTCCTCTCCCCCTCCCCGTTGTCCTACTCTATAGTATTTAGTATGTATAATAAACATGTATATAATATACGAGTATACAGAAACATCCCTTAAGTCCGCTACATCATCAGGTACAGGCCTCGCGAACCTATAACCTGATATACACAGTTTCCCTTTATGACACGACTCGGAGAACACTATCATCGTGGAAGTCTGCCCATTAGTGCGGAACCACTCTAAACTTATTCTTACCATAAACTCTAGCCAGTTAGACTAGAATTTGCAAACTGCAGCAGTCTCGAACGCACTTTATGTTAGACAGCGCACTGCACTCATGTTGGACTTGTTAGTCTTCAATTCAAAGGATCAACAGGTACGGAATGCGTGCGGTGGCCGCAGGAGGCAGCACCTTGATCCTTCAAAAGAATCAGGTTGCAACACTTCAAATAGATGACTGCCTTGCCGATCACGGCAATCCAACCTCGTTGGAGGCGCCCTCACTGCCACACGGACATTCTCCAGGTCCGAGGTACATGTCATCGCCATCACCTCGACAAGCAGGGCTGTCGCGCTGTCTACCGATACCCATATACACCTCAATGACTACCGGCACATCGACGTGCTCCGCTAGGATTTCGACCTGGCTTTCATCGAAAAAGCTCCGTAAGCTCTTATCGACCTTCAAACATTTTGAAGCGTCTTCGTGAGAATTACGGCAGTATCCTTCCCCAGCGGCCCTCGAGAAATTCCTGAAATGTAAGCAAAGAAGCGAACTTTTAAAACGGTTCAATTTTGAACTTTGATCTGGCACTCGAACTTCGGAAGCTAACATATAGTAGTAGTGAAAGGATATGCAGTGAAAGGCTTGACGAAAAAAACAGTGATGTATTTTAGCTTCCCTGTATAATGATTGCTTATTCATCACAAAAAATGGAATAGTGATTTCTAAGAAATAGAGTTAATTGAGAAGATATAATGGAGTCTATGCTAAAGTATTTCATGTGATTTGGTCGAACCAATCGAAACTATTTCCTTCAGCAAACTAAGTCGCACTTCATCACTCGACTTGGAAAATGGTAAACCGAAACCAACGACTGATAGACATGTACTAACTGAATGGACAGCACAACAATCGATTTGCGTAAAACTGAAGAAAGAAGAAAAATGTGAGCTATGATTGAGTGAGGACGAAATGCATATAGAAAATTCTGTTCGGAGCTATCATGTAATCACGATGCACACCAAGTGCTAAATGAGGAGTGTCGCCAGAACCAAAAGCGTGATTCCAGTGGATAAATGCAACCAACAAGCTGTAAATGGTAACGGAGAAAAGTAGATAAGTAAGATGAAGAATCACGCATGACTCAATCGAATATATGCAAGGCTATGGCTCAAAGATTGGTCCCAACACCTGGTAGCCAGTCAGCGGTCAACAGAGTGCCGCCTCTCAAACGTAACACGCACGAGCTTTGATCGATCGACAGCACCACACCCGCTTAGTATCATGCACTCAGTCAGAGTGACGGGATGGTTCCTTTTCCGAGCTGGATCATTCCAGTGTGAAATCAGTAAAACAGAAACGGAGACGAAACAGTTCTTTGTTAATGAGTTAGTAGCAAGAAAATGCAGGGCAATGGCGAAGAAGATTGTGGCTCTTCTATCAGAGTTCCCAATTACTCAGGGTCAGCTCACCCCCTCTCGTCCGGTTCATTTGATGCTGCGTTGAGACAGCGTGGTCGTAGTGCGAGTACTCGAGCTAGCGCTGCTTGGTGCAAGAAAGCTGATAAATCTTTGTCCCATCTCTATATCCATGCACAGAAACGAAAATTCAGTATGGGTACGCGGTTCCTACAGTAATCCAGCTATGGGTCCTAGCGCGAGCTAGGGGCCGTGGTGCAGTGCGGTCTACGAACTAACTACATGGTATTTTTCGTTCCTTTAAAATGTGCTGGTCGCGATCATTTTTCTCCTCTCGTCTGCCGCACTCCCTCCAATCGAGTATTTAACTCTCGTCCCCTCGCCTCCTTGGGCCTCACCTAGAGTATTTTTCTCCGCGCTCTAACCTTTCGCCGTCGGGACGCAGAGAAAGTTGAAGTGGTCACGCAACCGTGCCAGAACCCCAGCTATTCCATCATTAAGCGAACTAAATCTATAGTTCTGTCCGTGGCATTTGCTAGCTTTTGCAAAAGCTTGCTGCGGGACTTCTGCTGACATCCCACGGTCGTTTCTCAAGTAAGCTTGCGCGCACAGCGGAGCGTGCTTAATGATTACTTCTGTGGGAAAATTATTAATTAAAATGAATTTATCTGTAATTGGACCGGCATAGGTAATAAGTGAGGCACCAGCAAATAATACAAGCGTTCAATGGAATGTAACAATATAAAGAATGAGAGCAAAGAATTTATCAGACAGAACTATATGCGTAAGCAGATCATCCCGATGGGATATGATATTGGTGGCCAGGGCTCCGCCCCCATGGCGGTAGCGAGATGGTAGATGCCGCTCGCGGGTAGAGAACCTCGTCGACCCCCTGATGTCGTCCCCTTGCTCCGCGCTCCGCCCTGAAATTCCTTCATGAGTCATCTGAAAACATCAAGATATGATCGCCGTGCTAGTACAGCGACAGCGCGACTTACACTCAATTTTGGTCCGCATGTGGCCGGATTGCGAAGTCGGAGTTTGCAATGAGTGCGGTCATGAAAAAGTCCTGGTGGCCAGTAATTACAGCGACCAAAGGAGTGTGGGCCCGTTTGGCGGTCGCAGGTGGTTGATATACATACATACGTACATACATACATACATACATACATNGCGGGTAGAGAACCTCGTCGACCCCCTGATGTCGTCCCCTTGCTCCGCGCTCCGCCCTGAAATTCCTTCATGAGTCATTTGAAAACATCAACATATGATCGCCGCGCTGGTACAGCGACACCGCGACTTACACCTCCCCCCTTTACCCAAACTCGACCGACCCGGACTTTTAGGAACGCTACTAACACATGAGAGAGTAGAAAAAAAAGTGTCTTACCGAAGAGGAATCTTTAATAGTTTTGAAAGTAACGAGGAACTTGCGCCGCTGTGACGACCGCGTTGATGGAGTCCGCCCAACGCAGCAGGGTGTTCCACACCGGCACTTGGCGGAGGGTCTCAGCCTGGCCTATGATAAACTGGCCATGCCGGGACCGAGTCACGGCGACATTCAGGCGTCGATAGTCGTTTATGAATTCCCTCTCTGGGTCCTGTGAAAATTTAGTTTTGGTGGTCAACAAAATTACCACATCCTTCTCGCGTCCCTGCACCGAGTCAGCCGTCGTGAGCTCGAAGCCGAGATCGCCCATCTCTTCCTTCACGTAGCGGTACTGTTCCCTGTAAAAAGCGATGACGCATATGCTCTGTGCGGGAACTCCTACTCCGATCAGTCTGTCTATGAGATGGCGAAAGGTGATGGCTTCGTCCTCGTTATGTAAGGACTTACTAGGGGCTCGGACGGCGGTACCTATCGCGTCTATGAACATGAACGGAACGTTGGGCGAGGGGAAGCGCATCCTGGAGAAGAGGAGTAGGCGTGCCTGTGCTATCGTACCGCTTACAAGGGTTTCATCATAGGCAATGACATTGGGGAGAGCGATGGGACCTAAAGGTAGTAACGAGAGGGGCAACTGGGACTACCGGGGAAGCCAGGAGAAGACTCATGACGCTAAGTGCGCCAAGAGGGGCGGGATTTTAGTTTGGCGGACACTTGACATGCGGGGCCAGCTGGTGGATGTCGCCGATGCAAACGCGGCGAGCATGAGACAAACGCCCGGCGATGGTCAGGAGGGCTGGTATCGGTATTTGGGGAGCCTCATCACCTATTACGGCAATGAACGATGAAATATAAGACTTAAAGATGCCGGAACGTGATGTGGAATTAAGTAGGGAAGAGGTGGTCATACACAAAACCGATGGACGATTCACCGCAAACAATATTTTTACCATACGTTTGAGTGTGCGGGAAACGTACTGTTCCGCTACTTCATATTCGTCCCTCTCATCGTCCGTCATGCCGGGGATTGCATCTGGGTTGCCAATATAGTTCTCAACTAAGGAACGATACCGTTTAAAACGACGGCAGACTTCCAGATCTTCTTGGAACAGCTGGTGCCTAAACCTGTCTCCCAGGGTGAGAAGTACCTTACTGAGGTCCACGGGCGTTGTGGTGAGATTGTCCGCCGCATCCGTGTCCGAGATGTGGCGAACCACCTACATATCGGGAAAGTCCTCCAATGACAACAGCGTTTCCGTAAATTGAGCTACCGCCGCGTTCGTTGATGTCGTGACGATGACGGTAGTCTTGGGAGTTTGAGCCTAAAACGCTGCTATAAGAGATCCCACCAGTGTTTTGCTGGTGCCAAACGCGGCTTGGATGGCTACCAGCGGAATGCGACTTGCGCCTACTCGGAACGCGTCTCGCTGGTCGGGGGTCAACGTAAGAGTACGTTGATTGACTCTGAATGACCAAGCCTCCTGCGATGGGGCCGGAAAGGAGCGGAGATATTCCTGCTCGCTGGCGCCCGCCTCTTGGTTGGAATAAAGGATGTCAATAACCTGGTCACCCATGGAGTATGGAGTAAGGCCTGCGAATATTTCCATACGTGACACCAGATCATAAATAGGGTTGGCTGCTACGTTAGACCGGCTAAGGCGAATGCAAGCATCAAAGACGCGAGACCCGTCAGAGTCGCGGCCGTTTTGCCGAATCTCTCTAAGAAAAGTGGTGTTGGCCCACGGGAACGCTTCAAGGGTAAGGTTGAGCAACTTACGGTCGGAAAAGTTGACAAGGGTGACCACCTTAGCCCAAACCAAACTGGGAGAACCAACCATCCAAAGAACGACGTGTCTACAGGGAGCCCATCCAGCTTCTGAGGCCATGTCGGTGAGACTGAATTGTATCCGTATAGGGTGTCAGAGGGATAAACTAGCGTGACCTCCCGCAAATGAGTGCGACGATCGTTTATGGCCGCAAGCGCTGCGCAAGCTGCGTTGGAAATGCGGCCAAGTTTCCGCTTGGATCCCGCAGGGTCTCGATGGAAGTTATCGAAGCGCTGAAGTCGGTCGGCGCACCATTGGCGATCGCTGAGCGGCAACAGGAAGACTCGCTTGGGAAGGATTCCTTCTTCCGGGTGCATCGAGAAGAACCGACGGACGGTGGCCGCCAGGTGCTCTCGCGCTTCTAACGATACCGGAGGCTCACAGAACCGCATGGCTGAGGAGACGTTTACGCGCGAATGTGCCCCCACGATGTCATACTGGTGCAGACATTTGAGGTTAAAATTGCAGAGCGCAGGAGTAACCGTGACCGCATCTGGCGAACCTTCAAACACTGCCCGAGCATGTGTAACTCGATTTTTCCTGGTCGTGAGGGAAAGTATTGTGCCATAGACCGGGTCCGGGCGGTTAGTGATGGTCACGAACGCATAGTGGGCCGCTCTGAAAAAGAAGGAGGCCGTTCTTTCGAGGGCCGTGGTGCGGGGTATGGAAGCCTTCTTAAGGGTGTCCTCTGGAGATTCGAAAGCCTGTGGTGTCGGTTTGACGTCATATACCCAGACAAAGTCCTTAACTGAAACCAGGGATCTATTGAAACCACGACAGCCTGTTTCGATGTCAATGCCGAACCTATCGAGGAGAATACATTGGAGGTCGCGTCTATCCGGACCCGTGATGAAAAAGTCCTTTGCCTCCAGTACGAGGCCTGACCCGTAACCTGTGAAAACCACCTGATATAAAACAGGGTGGATGGAATTGAAGGTACGCGGCTTAGTGATGTACTGGTGGGGTCGGTTGAGGTCTGCGTGTACGAAAGCAACGTCGACCTCCTGATAAGTACCCGCTATCATCTGGTCAATAACCTGCTGGGACTGTTCGCGGAAGCGGATAGTGTCGTCCAGGTGAGGCAACTCGATAAAGGGTATTGATGTTGGCAACTTATGTTCCCTGAAAACTACCTGCGGAAATAGTGACTTATTGAAGCGCTTCGAGAGATATCCCGAGTCAGGCAGGGGGCGGTACAAGTTCACATCAAGATCCGTGGTGACCGCAGGTGGGTTCAGGTGAAGGTGGTGAAGCGGGCGAGGATTGACGAACTGCGCCCACGGATGGCTGTTAATCCAAGGGTGAGTGAAGTCTTGTGGGGTCTCCCAAGGTAACTGCGGGGTACCCACTTGAGGGTGGGATCCGACAAGATTTACTGGCGCCGCGAGAGGTGCTGCAGGCCGTGCTGCAGGAGGTGCTCTTGGGGCTCCGCGTCCTCTCGTGGCGGTTCCACGTGTAGGTGGCCGCGAGGTAGCGGGTCGCGCTCTCGACGAGCCGGATGCGGGGGGGGGGGGATCTCACGCAGATCCACGCGAGGAGGATGGCGCATCCGCTCGAACCGGCTGGCGTCGGCTAGATCCGCTGCGACGTAGCTTAGGTGGGGGGGGGGTTGGTGAATGGTCTCCTTCCTCTTCTACCTCCATAGGGTGTGGGGGAGAAAGGTGAGCTACTGCCAGCTGTTCCAGAGAGGCCGTCATGTTCGCGAGCGATGACTTACGAGTCTGCTGGGGCTTAGCTTTCCGGGTTGGTTGCTCTACCGTGGAGGAGCTGGACTGGCTGCTCGGAGTAGGTGAGCGACGCGAGCGCGATTCTAGCGATACGGGAGCTCCCCATCGAACCTGTAAGACCGGAGGCTCTGGGTTCTGAGAGGATACCGTATCCTTGTGCTGAGAACTTGAACCTTGTGTCTCGGACACCGGTTCGGATGTGTCCATGGCGGAAACCTCCTCGGTTGAAACCTCGGAGAGGATATTTGTTGATTCGGCCGCTACGCAGCCATTGTCTACTTCTTCGGTCGACGTGCGACTCGACGACATACTGTTGGTATCTTCTGCTACGCGGCTCACCAATTAAAAAAAAGGTTGCCTTACCACGAAGTGAATATAGCACACTAGAAATAAAAGATTCGCAAGGAGAACGTACAGCGATCGAGCAAAAGTCGGGTCTTTGTAATTACCTATAACATGTACCGTAAACAGGATAAACAGGATAATACAAGAAAAGCAAAAGTAGATTGCTATAGAAGAATCACTTATCATATGTAGAAGAAAGTAGGATACGACGCGAGATATATGTACATGTATGCATTATACGATAAGATATGACACTGAAGAAGAGTAGAATCATTTATGAAAAAGCTAGAGAAGGAGAAAGAAAGTGGAGGAGGACGGCTAATGAGCGGTAGATGAGGACAGGCTGTTTAAATGGGTGAAGTGGGCGTGTCATTGGAAGGCAATGGCATTCAAACATGTGCGAATGCCAGAGCGCCGAAAGAAAACAAAGAAGCCTGGCATGAGAAAGAAGCTCATGAGAGACCGTAAACTCAACGATGCGAGTTGAACGGAATTCAAATTGGTTACTGACTGTACCGGTCAAAGCGATGTACGTCTCAATCTGAAGCGTGTATTATACGAATGCGAGGGTGCCGAAGGTGCGGGGGACGGAGACTGATCTACGGTATGACCATAGCCTTTCACGGGACTGTCATCTGCTTCTGCTGCAGTGAGAGCAAGCTGTTCTGGTTCCGGCAGCCATGGGTTAGTAAAAACAGGTCCTGACAGGACCTTACATGGTTTAACCTGATTCATATGAACTTTCTTAGGTGCCGACTGCGGAGAGGAGATACTGACTATGATGAAATGAGGGGGGTCTACCTTGATTACTCGAAACTAACCCAGCCATGGATAACAAAGCTTTTGGGACAGTCCTACTTTGGGGGCTAGGTCACGAAGGTATACGCGATCGCCTCCCTTAATGGATAGGGGAGAAAGATGGGTGCGATCGTGTTGCGCTTTGAACTTCATTCGTTGAAAGACATCGCTGAACTCCAGGCCGCGTGAAGGGTAGTGACCAGATTTTGAACGTAGAATCCCGAGTAATCTGCGGTAATGTGGTTTTCCAAATCGTGTTGGATCAGCAGGTCGATATTGAATACAGGGTCGCGTCCATGCATAAGAAAAAAAGGGCTCGATGCTCGAGTGAACAGATGTATTGTACATAAACGCGCAAGCACATACATACTTGTCCCAGTCGAGTTGGTTCTCGTTAATATATGTACGGAGCATTGGATGAAAAGTGGCGAAAATTCGTTCGCACGCGCCGTTTCCTTCGTGATGGTAGGGGGTACAGTAATATCTATGGATGCGGAGAAACCGTCCCAACTCAGACATTACTTCGCCCTTGAAGTATTGTTGAGGCATTGAGGCATTTGAGGCATTATCCGAGATAAGTTGGGTCATAACGCCGAACTTTAATATACACTCGGAAACAATAGCTTGCGCTACCGTAACCGCCGTGCAATCTGGCAGCGGTGATAACATATTTGGAGAAGTGGTCTATCATCGCTAGTATATATTTATTACCCGCTTCGGATACGTGGAGCGGTCCGGTCAAGTCAATGTAAACCTTATCGAATATCGCCTTACTCACCACGGGTATCAGATGTTCGCGATTAGTGGGATTAGGCCTTTTGCGTTGGCATGCCTCGCAAGAGCGAACCAGCGAGAAGATATCCTCGGCCATATGAGGCCAAAAATATTTGCGTGCGACCTTCGCGAGGGTTTTCTTCCAGTTGAAGTGTCCTCCAGAGGAAGGGCTAGTGTGGAATGCCAAGTAAATGGATTCTTTAAGCTTGTCGGGCACTAATAACCGTTTGAAGCAGAAGGGTGCGGAGCCTGTACGGCGATCAACGTAATAGACGCAACCGTTTTTCCGTTTCACGCATTTTTCGGCAATGGCCAGCCATTCCGTCTTTTGTTGGTCGCTAAGAGAGGAAGGGAACCGCTGTGTCTCTATGAAAGAGAGAATAGCGGAACAGAAATTATCGTTTCTTTGCTCTTGCAGAGCGTCGTAGGGCCGAATAGCATGAGGGAGCATGAATAGCCTACGCAATAAATTGAAGGTCGTATCGAATATGCTACTGGCAGGGCAGTATTGATGCTGACAGGAAACTCGACTGTCTTCCGCTTCAGGTGTGTCATCCTGGAACCTGACACGTGAATCAACGGCTCGGGACAGAGCGTCAGCTACGACGTTAGATGACCCTTTCAGATATTCTATAGACACATCATAACTCTGCAGCTCAACGACCCACCGTCTTAAGTTGTCATGCGTCTTATTATGTTTTAACAGGAACGTGAGCAGACGATGGTCGGAGTAGATGGTAGTGTGATTACCGTATATGGTAGGACGAAAAAAACGTAGCGCACTCACAATTGCGAATAATTCTATGTGGGTTGGACTCCATTTTTGCTGAGATTCCGACAGCGTTTTACTAAAGTAACCGATGGCAACGAATTGTGGGTCCGTATCCGAATGACGTTGAAACAAGGCCGCTCCTACCGCACATTGGCTACCGTCACTATGAAGGAAAAATTCCTTATCCTGTGGGAATCCCTGACATGGCTTCGACGTCAGCTGAAGCATAAGCCGTTCAAAGGCTTCTTGCTGCTCCGGTCCCCATACAAACTTCGCCTCACCCTTAAGAGGGCTCACAAGGGGGGCGCTACCAATGCAAAATTTGGAATGAACTTCCTGAAGAACTTGGCCATGCCTACAAATTCTTTTACGGCTTTTGTTGTAGTAGGAGTGGGGAATTCCTCGATAGCACGAACGTTCCTGGCCGCGGGTGAATAAGAGGCGCCGGAGATCTCGTGACCTAGAAAGGTAATGCGGGTGCGGGCTATTTCTTTCAATTTCTTACCACACGCCTTAATGTTAAAAAGGCGGAACCGGTAGAAGACCTTACGTAATGATTGAAGATGGTTGGGAAAATCCTTGTCAAATATGACGATGTCGTCCAGATAAGCGAGGCAGTTATTTTCTAAACCTGCTAGGATGCGTGCCATTGCCCGTGAAAAATAAGCTCCCGCATTTTCGAGACCGAAAGGGAGGTACACAAACTGGTAAATACCCCGATGTGTTGCCCAACCACATTTCTGTTGACTCTCCGGAGAGAGAAGAAGTTGCATATACCCTGATGCCAGATAAAAAGTGGTATAAAACTTATGACCAGCTATCTTAGCTAGGATATCCTCAATGCGGGGTAGAGGGTAATGATCGGGTATGGTAACACTGTCTAAAGGGCGAAAGTCTAGACAGACGCTCAAAGAACCGTCCTTTTCTTAACGAGAACGGTGTTGTGAACCCAAGGTGTGTCACTCTCAGCAATACGCCCAGCACGGAGTAACTTGTTGATGTGATCATCTAATTCTTTCTGGAACTTACCGGGAATACGCGGAGGGCGGAATCGGGTCTGTGGGGATCGGTTGTCGTCTTGATAACGTTTCAGATTCTTCATAGGAACCGAGATTGTAAGAACCAGTGGAGATGCGATCACGGAACTCATAGAACAACTGAACCAATTGGCTTCGTTCTTCGTCAGAGGCCTCTGCGAAAGACAGATCGACTTTAAAGAAGTCGATGATGTTTGTTGTTTCAGGGCGGTCGGCCCTTACCGTAGCATCATCTACGAAAGGAGGTAAACTAGATGAGAGTGAGAAAGAGGTAAAGCGTCATTGTTTTTAAGAGGAACAGCTAATGATATCTGTTATCCCTTATAGAGCGTTTCTGGTCGAGATGACGGATTAGATATCAACAGAAGGGGGTCAGCAGCATTGATTACTGCTGGAGAAACCATTAGTGATTTACTTGACAGCTTGTCATCTTGAGAAACTAACACGAGCGAAGTTGGACAGGTCTGCTCTGTTACGCAATGGACAAGAGTCTCGGATGATGCTGGGAGTACGGTAGTCTCAGCAACGCGAACAGACATTGTCTGCTCGGCAAGTGGCGAGGCGTCTGGGGGGGNGGGGGGGGGGGACGCGCACAATATTTTCAAGGGGTGATCTGCAAAGCGTAGAGTAGAGTTTCCATAGTCGATAGTCCAAGGTGGTAACCTACGAAGGAGGTCATAGCCTAGAATAATATTGTAGGCATCCGCTACGTCGAGAATGCAAGCTGACTTTGTAAAGTAGACAGGATGCTCGAACGATAACGACCCTATTTCAAACGAAAGAGTTGCGAAACCCAAAAGTTGGACAGGGACTCCTGCCATACCTACTGCGCTAGTAACACCGCTTCGAAGCAGCTGGAATGCTCCAAATAGAGGAATAGTATCTACTGAAGTGAGAGTTATGGATGCACCGGTGTCAACGAGGGCCAATACTTGCACATGGTCAACTCGAATAGGAACCTGCGCAATAAAGAAACGATCACGATGCGTTAAATATGAAACGTTGACGGAGCTCATGATTGCACGAGGAGGCCATGAGGAAGGGGCATCGATTTTATAACGGAACAGGTTGTGACATTAACTGAGAAGATGTATCAGAGGATATCGAGGGGCGTGACTGATTGGCTAAGGGGAATGACCGCGAAACAGGAGTACGGTAAGTCGGGAGTTGCTCTCGTAATCGCGGGAGTAAGCCCGGGTAATATATATTACAGTAGAGGACAAAAACCGTTTTAATCATACGAAAAGTCACAATGACACCGCAACAAGTGATCCACAGGTCAAAAGACGACCAAGGACCAAAGATTGTTGACCACAGTGAAAATGAATGAGATTTGCGTGATATAGAGTCGAAAAGGGGCTCTTTATCGTCAACTACGCGAATGTGCGAAAGGTGGTCTGTCGATACAGCAGACCACAATTCCTGCAATTGATGATCTTGGACAAGTTCGCTAAGATTGGTCAGAATGAGGTTATGGAAAATCGTGAGAGGAAGAGCGAGAGAAGAGGAATTAAAGTTAGAAGGGATACCGATGTTCGGAATAAGGGTATTAGGAATCAGTTGCCAATGACCAGTTAGGGAAACAAACCTGAGAAAAGAGTCTTCACGCTGGAGATAGAAATAGCGTACCGACGAGCAATCAACTGTAGATGCTTGCTGGGAAGCGATCAAGGTAGTAGGGAGAAAGGAGGAAATAGCGTTACCTGATGGCGGAACGATTTTGACCATTGGTTTGGAGAAACAGGTACCATTAAAGGGTATGAGCTTGAAGTTATTGGCGGGGATTGCCATGCACCGATGGATTTGCACCAAGTTGCTACCCAGCAAAGAAGCCGCTATATCACTATGACCTAAGAGGTTGCTAAGGGTGAGGGTTGGATTAGCAGCTAAAGAAGTATGGAGAGCGAAGGCGAGAAGGTTCGTCCTGTCGCAGAGAGCGGACAACGCGTGATGGAAAAGCGAAGAGACCGCTGACCCCACTGAACCTTCCACAGCTAGTAGTTGCGCGGCCAGTTGATTGGAGGTAACTATCCCGGCGTCTATGTCCGTAGAATGGGGACGACGAATTACCGGTGCGACCGCATAACCCTGGTCCGAGAGAATAAGCCGAGCTCCGCAGTCCACTATGCGATCGCTGGTTTCGCGCCACGAAATCGCGAATTCCTTGGAGTCGCTAATCCAGGTGTCGCCGAGCTGCCGACCCCTCATCTTCATAATTGGCGTAAACCGACATGACTCCTGCTTACTGGGCGTCCAAACGAGTACTGACCCGTCCTGCGAAACGCAATTTCCGGACTCGTATGTGCATTTGGCAAGGTTGCCGACTGGGGAGTCGGAAAAGTGGCACCATGACGCACATGAACAGCAGTTCGAACCAGGAAACAATTAGAAACCGTAACGGTGCGTTTTGAACAGCAACCTAAAGGGGCTGAAGGCCACTGGATGACTAGAGGGTTGTAAGTTGCCCAAAAATCGTCGGATTGGGTCAAAGTACCATGCTCACACTTGTGATGGTGTATCATCAATTTGCAGGATTCGAGGGGTACGACGGCATGAGTCTCGGTCGAATTCTGATATTGTGCTCCGAAGAAGTTAACTGAGTAGGTGACCGACTGGACGGCGATCTTGCACAGGTGTGCCACTGTGTCGTAACGCTGAGTGTTGGGGCGGTAAATGTGAACCGACAACGCTCTGGGGTCTCCTCAGCTGGTGGTATAATCCACGAGCAATTATACGACGTGGGGATTCGTGCAAGGGCGTCAGCTGGATCATACGGACACAGCCATGCCGATGCTGAAATCGGTTCCCTAATCACAGCACAATCGAGCATTGAGATGGTAAGGAGAAATTTAACCGGTGGCATGGAAGTGGTAGACGAGCGGGGAGTAGAAGTGCCAAAAGCTGAGTTGGCCAGTCCCTCGTTGCGCTTCACTAATGCGTTGACCCTAGCGTCGGATCTCTCGAGTGCCGACTGGTTCTCCTACAGTGAAATCGAGAGAGTCCGGATCTGATCACGAGCTTGTGAGAGTTCCCTGTCCCTTTCATAGCGGGAGGGTGGCAAAAACCCGCGAGATGACGACTGAGAATAATTACGATCACTGGACAAACTGCGCCGAACTGACTTATCTGCTGTTCCACGCGGGACCTTGGGTGAGGGGCATGGACGAGAAAGGTGCCCAACGCCTCCGCAGTTGAAGCAGGTATTGTTTGTTACCGTCCGTCTCGGACGAGGAGACTGCCGATCCCTCGATTGCTGAGGGGATTGAGCACGCCCTCGAGTGAAGAGGTCCTTGGTGTCTCATAGTTTGGGCGCCTGAAGTTTTGTCCTGTCGCCGCCGCAGCCTTTACTTCTATTGTTTGGTCTGGTTGAGAGGGTCTTATAAGGCGATCGGCGGTGGCTTCAGGAGCTGCTCCACCATTTGCGCCTTTGCCACGGCCTGCTCTAACGTGGCCGGGTTATCAAGTTTAACATAGTAACGGATGTCGGGCCGCAGCCGAGCTACGAATTCCTCAAGGACCCTATCCTTTTGACTAGCGGGGTCCTGCCCTGAGGTAGCTGCTCGCACCAAGAGCAAAAGTCTATTGGCGAAAGTGAAAGTCGACTCACCAGTCTGTTGCTGACAAGATGAGAGGGCCTGGCGAGCCATGTAACGGTGTTGGGGTCCTTCAAAGGATTTTTTAGGTGGGCCACTACCTGGGCGTAATCTTCGCGTTCGTCGTCGGGTAATTCTTCCACCTTCTCTCGAGCCACCCCGTACAGAAAGCCCGTTAGGAAGTAGGCCTTTTGTAGCGATGTCCACGTAGTGGACCTCATCCTCATCACGTCCTCGAGGCGTCTGAGCCACAAGGAGAACTACAGGGAGTCCTCCCCAGAACCCGAAAAGGGAATGACGCGCGTCCGGGCTCATCGTTGCGACTAAAGCGTTGATGCGTTTCTATACGGCCGCAAAAGAACTGTTTAAATCCGAGAGTAAGCATGAGTTACCCTCGTTGATGGTTTGAGCTAGCTTGGTCGCCCCGAAACGGGCTTCGTCGCGAACCTCAACTATAGCCAGAACCGTTGCATCTCGTAGGGCTTTCGCGTCCCTACCTCTAACGCGATCGTCTAAGTCTGCCAGCGTATCTGCCAAGTTGGCGGATGCTGGCAGCTCGGAGTCCGATTTTGGTGTCAGGGCAACTACGGCCCTAGATTCTTCAGAATGAGAGCGGGTCACAGGCGGATCCATGACCCCACCAGCAAACACACAAGATCAGGAGAAAACGAGACTTGAATGAGCAAGACGAGGTTAATGATGATGAAAGACGAGCGTCTCTCTTGAACGTTTTAGAGTGGGCGGGGTCAGCCAATAGGAGCGCGATACCGTAATCCCAGCGTGGGACCTTTCCCAGAGTTCATCGAATTTTTTTCGTGTATTTCTTTGATCACGATCTGATTCATGCAGGCGATAAGGATGTTTGAACATGGGAATGATACCAAAAAATAAAACATCCTTGTTGAGCTTGTTCCCAGGCTGCCCTATCAGGGGCTCAATCTCTGACGAGGCTGGGAACATGACGTTGTAAGACACAAAGAGATGGTATGTCAAGAAGAGCATTTGAGAAGCTCAATAGGAATGCCTAATCGAGAAAATAGTCGGGTGATTGCGAAAGAGCACTAAGCAGAGATAGCCATTATAACGAAAAGTATTTGGTTGGCTATGATATCCAGAACACTTAAGGACGAGGAGCATGTTGTGAGGCGCGGTTTATCATTAACGTGATGAAACACAGGTGGGAGTGTGAGAGCAATAAAAGAGGAAGGTAGCAACTCCAAAGATGGGCAGCAAAGGACCGATAAAAATGGGAGGAGACTGTTACTTAGGAGACTGTTACTTACTTTGTGCAAAAGGCAAGAAACAGACGCGGCGTGGCCTAATTCTGGTGGTTACGTCCTTCATTGGATTGGTAAGTAGTTGAGCGGCGCACTCGATGGACTCACCATATGTGGTTAAAGGATCGCACCGCCGATGACAATACGCCAGAGATTGCCAGCAGGCGATGTCCACACGCTCTCGCTAACTGCAACTTACGGGACCGAAAGACCAACTCTTGCTTCGGTTGGGGACCTTCCAACTAGCGAAAATTACTCGCACGCTGATTTCTAAAACGGACCCCTCGGGTCCTCCAGAGCGGAAACCACGTATAAGGTATCACCCGGCCGAAAGACGACCTCACTTCTACAAAACTAATAACCATAATTACGTTTTTTTTGTGTTTTTATAATTTTTTTAACATTATACACCTCCCCGGGGAAACACTTCAATCAAACCAAACCATACTGAATACTGCTACTAGTAGGCCCACCGTGTACACTTCCTAGAGCCGCCGACAACATAGTTTCACGTCCCTGAACACCACACCTCGCACAAATTAGTCTAACGAATCACCTAATCACAATGGCACGCGGCTTACCTCACACCCTAAGATACTACTCACAACCTCGAAACAACTTGGGGACGAACACCATAATTACGCTCTCGTTACCTTTCTACAGGAAGCCCCTCCTTCATACTACGGCGCCTGACAGTTTTAGACCCCTGTCGCGGGTAAAATATGTTACCATGGTAAAAAAAAAGGTCGTTCGCGATGACAAGGGATACCGTACTTATCCTACTCGCAGAAAGAACTTCACGACTTGCAAAAACCCTGTGCAGCTGGGCGGAAAACTTAGCTGACTACAGTTGATTCCAAAAAGGGCAACAGGCAGCTGCACCATCACGGTTCTTTCCTTGTCCGGAGTCGACTCGAGGGGCGAAGAAGTCACAGAAAACAAAACGCAGCTGGCAGCTGGACACGAACGGGCCCTATCGTATCCACGCCAGAAGCGCCAAGTTACTTTAAAAAACTATCTGGCTACTAAACTACCCCAACAGCGAGAGGTAACCACTCGCTGCTATCAGTAAGCTTGCGCACACAGCGGAGCGTGCTTAATGATTACTTCTGTGGGAAAACTATTAATTAAAATTGATCTATCTGTAATTGGACCTGCATAGGTAATAAGTGAGGCACGAGCAAATAATAAAAGCGTTCAATGGAATGTTCAATACAAAGAATGAGAGCAAAGAATTTATCAGACAGAACTATTAGGTTGTCGGAAAAGTATTTGCGCATTTTGCAATCTTTTTTTGAATTTATTTTTTTCCTTCACGACAACTAATAATCAACATGTATATGCACCTTGACTATCGACAAGGTATTGCCATTCACCAGGCAACTT